GGACTCTTTGCTCACATATTTACTATAATAATAATGAATAATAATAATAGATGTTTTTATTGCTATGTGCCATTGAGTTGCACCCAACTCACAGCCGGTCAGCAGTTCACTTGGTGGCCGTGGTGGTCTGGGAATGGCTGAACGAGCACGGCCGCTGGCGGCCCTACAGCCCGGCCGTGAGCCACCACATCGAGGCGGTGGTGCGCGCCGGGCCGCGCGCGGGGGGCAGCGTGGTGCTGGGCCAGGTGGACAGCCGACTGGCGCCCTACATCATCGACCTGCAGTCCATGAACCAGTTCCGCCAGGACACGGGTGAGCTGACGTTCTCTGCCTCTCCACGCTCAGCTCTCCTCTTTGGCCTAGATCTCCAGCCTGCAGTGGGGGTTAGCCGGAGTTGGGGGCGCTTTCCTTCCCACGGTCTTCTTAAGCTCCCCAAATAAACATCTCACCATATAGTATCTGTGTGTAGTCCAGCTTCAATCCCGTCCCCGAGAACCCCCTTCCACGCCCCCTTTGCAGCACATGCTGGCTCCAGGTGCCCTCATTCGGGGTCCGCCCCGCGCACGAGCCACCCCAGCCCCTCTCCAAGACTCACGTCCTGCACCCCTGGACTGATCCCCGCTTTGCCTCAGGCTTGTCATATGTGTCCTGTACTGCCGCGACCCCTGCGGCTGTGGGACATGGGGAAGGAAGGCGGGATTCCCCCGGGGCGGCTCTGGCTGTTGACCCGTGTGGGAAGGGCCCGGGCCTCCCTGCGAGGAGAGGGTAGCGTCCACGGGATCCCGGGAATGGAATGCTCCGGATGCTGTGGCATCGGTGCGGCTGGCGGTGCGCTCTGAGTGCCGAAGCAACAGGCCAGAGCAGATGGGGAGAGGAAGGGGAGGAGGGGGCTCGGGAATGCCGGGCGGGGAAGCCGCTCCCTTTGTCCACGGAGGAGGCGGATTCCTCAGCACAAGCTGTCTCTGGGCTCCCTCCCTGAAACATGGCCACTGAGGGAAGCAGGATGCTGGCCCCCTAGAAAGCTAAACTGCCTTCTGATGCCAGTCAGGTTGCCCCAGTGGCCACAGAGCCCTGCCTCTGCTGTCCAGCCTTTCCACATCAGGGGGACACGGAGGGTGCTCGCAGAGTGAGCCTCTTGCAGGGGCGCAGGGCAGAGAGGGACAACCTTGTTTGCTTGACTCAGTGTAACCAGGATTTGAGGCCATCCTGGGGCCGAGTGTCCCCTCCCCTGTCTCCTTTGGAGTCTCTGGCGTGAGTGAGAGAGGCGGGGTGGAGAGGCTTCTAGAATTCTGTTGGGGCTTTCAGCAGAGGCAGAGTGGAAAGGAATCGTCTGGAGAGGCAGGTGTGGTGCGGAGGGAGTAAAGAGGATGATGGGAGACTCCCCGAGGGTGAGAGAGCAGCTGTTGGGGCTTCTCAGCCTCCTTGGAAAGCCCCCACATCCTGTGTGCTAATTGGGATGGTCATGGGAAAGGGGCATCTTTCCACCCTCGGACTCCGTCTTTTAGTCATAACTCCCAGCCACCACTCTGCCCAGGGCCTTGCAGAACTGGCCGCTTGGCTTGAGTAAGGCTTTCTGGGGAAAGGCTTCTAGAAGTGTTAGCATCTGGAGGGGCTTAAACCTTGTGGGGAGCTCAGTGTGAGGAGGAGGGAGGGAGAAAGGAGTAATGTGGGGAGGTTGGGAAAGAGGACTAAGTGTGCTGGTTGGGAAAGAGGACTAAGTGTGCCAGAGAGAATGTAATCGTGCAATTTGAATAGAGGTTGGAGGTTTGGAGGTGTGTGTGTGTGTGTGTGTGTGTGTGTGTGTGGTGAGGGGTGTGTGTGGTGAGGGGATGTGTATTTTCAAGCACACGTGTGCTTGTGCATTGTACCTATCATCTGTGTGTGAACAAGGAAGCTGACGCCAGGAGGTGGGACCAAGGAGACCAGCAGTTCAGACACCTGACAGGGAATTCCAGTCCTGCTCAAAATAGACCAGCAGGTGTTAGCTGTTCTATTGCAGACGAAAGCCACTTTCATGAAGCATGCAGAAAGCGACTCTAGTGGCATCAGGACTCCAGCCCTTCCTCGGCGGCGTTTGAGAAGGATCAAGGCAGAATCTCTGTTTCGGAGTGCCTAGAAGGCAGCTCTGCTGGTGGAGTCCGTAGGGAGCTATGCTGCTGACCCTGAGGTGGTGCCTCTCAGCTGGTTTGAATCCCCCAGAGGCTCCTTGGGGTGGGGGTGGAGGGAAGATGAGCTATCGTATGTGCAGTATACATCCTTCTACAAGCCAGTATAAATTCCAGCCAGCTGGAATGCAGTGAGAATTTGGATATGGCTGCTAACCAGAAGTCCGAAGGTTTGAACCCACCAGCCGATGCTAAAGAGAAAAGTGGGCTGCCTCTTCTCATGAAGATTTACAGCCTCAGAAATCAATGGAAAGTCACTGTTAGTAAGAATCAGTGTGACAGTCGTGAGTGAGATCTGTTGTAAAGTCTCTGTGCAGTGCAGACAGTTCGGAACTTGGCTGCTAGCCTCCAGATAGATAGAAATTCACGTCTGCCCAGAGGTGCATCAGAAGAAAAGCCTGGTGATCCTCTTCCAAAAGAATTAATTCAAAAGCGTTTGGAGTACAGGTCTCTGGCACACATGGAGACATGATGAGTCAGAACTAACTTAACAACAGCTGATCATTTTGAGGGTTGTGACACCTAGGAATTGTCAAGACAGGAAGGACCATTACAGTACAAGTGAAGTGCTAGGGAAAGCTGGGCCAGAGAACAGAAGCTTCTCCCACCGAGTCTGATCACTTGTACCTGAGAAGCAGATCAACTGACCATGGGGGTCAGCAGTTCACTTGGTGGCTCAGGCTATGTAGATTATAAACCAGATTCAGTAAACTTGGTCCTGAGATCATTTTCAAGAAGTCTTGGATGTTTGTGCGTTCTTGTCTCTCGTTGAGCTGCATTAGGCCCACTTTTGGCTGTCTTTTCATCCACTCATTCCCAACGCCTGCCAGTCACACATACTGGGCACCACCCCCTGTGCCAGGCCTTGTGCTGGGTGCTGAAGGCCCTGGGCTGCACTCCCCAGAACGCTGAGCCTGCAGGGGGACTTTATCAAGTTCAAATAGGCCTGTCTTTCTGGATGCTGGGCTCTGAGCCCCCTCTACTCCCTTCTCCACCATTGGACAAACTGCCTCTCTTGGGGCGGCTCGTTGATGAGACCATGGCAGGGTAAGCTAAGGACTTTAAACCACCAGCTCCCAGGCAACCTCAGCCAGGCCCTGGCAATGTTTAATTAAATTACCCAGCGACCCCCAGACCGCACTCTAAAGCTGGGAACCAGAGACATCCAGCAAACAAAGGAGAACTGGAAGTCCCCTGCCCAGAGGCGATCCCTCTCCTTTTTTGTAGTCTCTGCTGTATAGTGAGCTCTCCTGACATGGGAGCTTTGTCTTCTTAGAAGTTGCCTTCTTACTGCCCAGCCCCGTCTCTCCACTTCCCACGAATCCTGCCCTCATCCGGCCTGTCTCCAGGGAGATGACTGGGATGCTGCAGACACCTTCCTCTCATCCTCCTGCAGTGCCAGCCCTGGGGCCTCTCCTTTTCTTGGTCTGTGGTCTTTTGCATTCTGTATTGATCTTGAGGCATTTGGGGTCTGAGAATGGGTGACATGGAGAGAATAGGCGTAGGACACTTCTGAAGGCCTTGGTCAGAGGTCTTCTCCACCACCCTTCACGTTCACCATCACCTTTCTCTCGATCTTCCTACAAACCTGGTCACGCACACCCACTGCTGCTGGAGTCACAGTGAGTATCAAGCACGAGCTGGGAGCTGGAGACGTGGCTCAGGCCCTTAGCCTGGACTCACTGGCAAAGTGTGACCTTGAACAAATCCCTCCAGCTCAAGCTTCATTTTCCTCTGTGGAAAGAAGAATAATCTCGGGATTCTTTCCCTGTCATGCAGATCAGCAGGTGAACTGTGTTGGCCCCTGTACCAGTGATGATGCTAATAGGAACCAGCATGGTGTGGGGACAGAGTTCTTCCCAGCTCAGCGTTTCTACGCACATTTTGCCTCCTTTATGGAGTCCCAGGGTGGTGCAAATGGTTAAGCAATCAGCTACTAGCTCACAGGTTTGATGATTCCAGCTCACCCAGAAGCGCCTTTGAAGACAGAGCTGATGCGCTGATTTGAAAAGGTCAAGCCTTGAAATCCCAGTGGAGCTGCTCTGTACACACGGGGTCACCATGAAGCAGAATTAAGTCGGGGCAGCTGACAACAACGTGTCTTGAATACAGTGACATGGGCCAGGAGGAGAAAGCATAGGTCTGATTCAAGAGTCTGAAGGCAGATCCCCCACAGTAGGACCCGTCCCCACTCTGTGTGAACACAGGTGCCAAGAGTCCCATATCATGATGCCCTCCCAATACAGTGAAATACAGAGCAGGCCCCGTGTGCTGGCTTTATGCCACGCTAGTCATCCCACACATTATCTCATTCGAGGCACGAGCACCCTTATGGAGAGAACCCATTGTCATTCCTGTTTTCTCAACAAGTTGGAAGAGATGCAGTTGTTCAGGGTTAACATTGCTGAGTGGCAGAGCTGAGATTCTGTGCGCTGTTCTCTCACTGTACAAGCAGGGAAAGGGCGCTCACCTTGGGAGCCAGCCGGAAGCGGGTATCTAAGTCTTTGCCTTCCTAGAACATTCTAGTGGAGGGAGGGAGGATCCCTGGAGTTCCTAGACTCGGCAGTGAATCACTGCAGTCCATGTGGACGCAGTGGTCCAGAGACCTCCGTCTGTCCCTCACAGCCATTACTTCCCATTTCCCGGGGACTACAACACCCTGATGCTTTGGGGTGGCGTATCTGAGCTCTTTGTTCCTCCAAATATCCCCTGTTCCTATGTGAGACTTTTGGGTGGTTGAATTTTCTCAGATAGTTTTCACTCATGGTTCTGATTCTGGAACAGCCCACAGCCCGCTTATTCCAAACAAGTTCATCTCTGAAAAGAACTAGAATGCAATCTCACCATCTCTCTTGTCCCACATGGCAGTTCTGAGATCTTCCTGATGACTCCTAACTATCTTTTGAGTCTGTTTCATCTCCTCTCGAATGAACTAAACTCTAGACCTTTTAACTCCAAAAAGCAGTTCTTTCCTTCTGACACCACAATGTCTGTTAAGGTGCCACCGTTTTGCAATTGCAAATGGTCAAAGCCTCCAAAAAAATTATAGACCCATTGTATGATTCAGAAACTTATTTGAGTCCTAATTTTGGGCTTATGGGTCAAAGTTTGAGGTGTATGAGAAAGCCCAGCATAGTAGTTCACATG